GGCGAGGAGGGAATGTATGTGTCAAGTTCAGGGAGGACCCAACTGAGGGAGGGGGAGGATCTGCTGTTACGTTATGAGTGACAGCCACAGGAGGCTGACCTCTGTGAGTGCTCCTGGACAGTCCCCGGATCCTTGAGGCACTGGCTCTAGGCAGGTTTCAGAGGGCAGTGACCCTGCAGCTGACACCCTAAGGTGAATACTTGAGTCAAGATGTTTTCTGCTTAAGGGACACAACTTGACTGCGAGCACTTTGGGGACAGGACGCTGGTCAAGTTACCATGTCCCCTGAGCCTCACATACTGCTCGGTGCCTAGTAAACACCTAAACATCAGGCCTTCCTGCACGGCGAGTTCAGAGCAGAGGCTCTGAGGTGGGCAGAGCTAGGAATCTCCTGGAAGTGTGTGCCTAACTTCCACCCCTGCCTCCCCAGCTGGAAGATCTGGAAGTCACTGTAGCTGATCACATCCAAAAGGTCATGAAGGTGAACTTTGAGGCTGCCTGGGATGAGGTCGGAGATGAGTTCGAGAAAGAGGAAACATTCACTTTGTCTACCATCAAGACACTTGACGGTAAAGTCCCGGGGGTGCCACTTCCAGCCTGCTTGCCTTTTATCCCCTTCCGCCTTCCTGCCCTGTGCCCACAAGGGTCCAGGGCCGTTTCTAGAGGACATATTTCAGACACCACTTCATTAAAAGCCTCTCAGAGTGGGGTAGGGGATGGGGGAATGGGGCTGGCACAAAGAGAAGACAAGATGAATGACCCTGGGATTTCTGCCTACAGAGGCTGTGGGCAATATTGTGAAGTTCCTGGGAATGCACCCTTGTGAGAGGTCGGACAAAGTGCCGGATAACAAGAACACCCATACCTTGCTCCTGGCTGGTAAGCAGCATCTCCTGGTGGGAAGCATCTCCTGGGTAGGCTGTACCATTGCATCTGGGCTCCCACTGGGAACATACAGGCATTCAAAATTTAGGTATAAAAAGACCTTCAGTGAAAAGTCTCTGCCAGGCTTTGTGACCCGTCAGTCCTCCGGTTCCCTTTTGACAGCCAGTATTAATTACTTTTACAAATTATGCCAATATAGCCTTCCAGTGGTCTTGTGGAAATAAAAACGGCTATGTACACATTGCCCTTCTTCTTTTACTTTTTTTAAAGATTTTATTTATTTATACAGACAAGAACTAGGGTGTAGGCCAGAGGTGCAGGGGTTGAAAGGATTCACCAGAGACAGAGTGGAGAGCAGAACAGGCGGATCTACTGAAATACACTGCTGAGGGGAGCAGCGGGCGAGACAGGAGATGTCTGCTGTGCCATGTGGGTCACCTCCCTTGCCAGGGATCGATTTCATGCTGCAGTGGCTGGCGATAGCTTGGTAGTGCTGAGGCTTTAACCCCTTGCACCACTAGGGAGGCCCCACATTCCCCTTTTTGAACTCAAATGTTTAGGTACAATAATATGTACATTGTCTGCACTTTCCTCTTCGCTTGACTTCACCTATTCTTGGAGATCTTCCCTGACAATCAGTAAAGCTTCCTTCCTTCCTTTTATTTTTTAATTGCAGTAAATGAAATTTACCATTTTAACCATTTTTAGGTGTACAGTTCAATGGCTTTAAATATATTCAGGGTAGGGCCTCCCCGGTGGTGCAGCGGTTGAGCGCTGGGTTGCGAAGCTGCCTGCAGCCTCTGCAGCGCCAGTTCGATCCCCGGCTGCTCCCCGGCCACCGGAGGAGGGTCCCACATGGTGCGCAGACCTCTCCTGCCGCCCGCTGCTCCCCTCAGCAGTGTACTTCGGTCCTTCTGCCTGCTCTGCTCCCTGCTCTGGTTCTGGTGAATTCTCTCACCCTCCCGCGCTTCTGACTGTACCCAGTGCTTGTATAAATAAATAAACAAGCAAACAAACAAATTAATTAATTAATTAAAAATGAATAAATAAATAAATTCAGGGTAAAAATAAATCTTTAAAAATAAATAAATAAATACATTCAGTGTCAGTACAACCCTTACCACCATCCACCTGGCAAACTTTGTAATCATCCCAAACTGAATCTTCATTATCTTGATCTTCATTCTGTTTTAGCTGCCTCATTCATATTCAGTGTGCATGTGCCTCAGAACCCAGCCCCTACTGATGAGCATTTATTCTGTAACAGTGAATGCCACAGTGAATGATCACACACACGTACATACAGGAAGTCCTCACTTAAGACTGTTGATAGTTTCTTGGCCAATTTTTTCCTTCTCTGAATTGTTTTCATCTTTTGTCTCACTTTCTACTGGGTTGGTTGGTCTTTTTTAATAAAAATGGAATTTCCTATTCTCTTCTAATAGTAATACACAAAAGTTGACTAATATAATGAACCCACTGATCTTCCAGTTTCCACAACTAACAGCATTTATACTCACCCAGATCACTTTAAAGGAAAGTCCAGATAAATTTTTGTACACAATTTTCTGTAACTGTATATTTCTCTAAGAGGTGATCAGCCTTTGTTAGAACAGGGTAATACAGTTATCACAACAGAAACCATGAGCCAACTGAACTATGAGGGTTCTTTTTTTTTTTTTTTTTGCTGCATATTTATAAACAGAGTTTAGCTCTGCTTCAGTGCCTTGTTTATAGCTGACAGCCCACAAACCCATCATTTCTGGCCACACTGAGGCGACCCGGTCCCCTGGGTCTTGCAGACACCTGCTCTGCGGTTTTGTTGTGGTGGGCCTGTCAGCTGTGCTCTTAGATTCAACCAACATGTGTGAGAGCCTTGAGCTGTCAGGCACAAGCCTTATATGTCTATTAGTTCAGTTAGGCTTGACAGAAAATTGAAATATCATTAGTATATTACCTCCTCACATGATGGTTGATACTGCAGCTGAGAGGCAGAGTGGCCTGCACAGACCTCACTTGGGTATTGCAGCCCAGCTCCCCTAGTGTCAGGCTCACTTGCCTTCCACAACACCTGAGTTGTTTTCATCAGTTGCTGCACACTCCACCCTCAACTTCTGCTGCCCCTCCGCCTAACACACCTGTGCTTTTCTTCTAGGTGTGTTCCGGGGTGGCCATGACATCCTGGTGCGCTCCCGGTTGCTGCTTTTGGACACAGTAACAATGCAGGTGACAGCCAGAAGTTCGGAGGAGCTGCCAGTAGATATCATCTTGGCTTCTGTGGGCTAAGAGGCCAGCCTGCATAGGCTCCACTCTACCCTTTCTCCCCAACACAACGTAGAAGTTGCGACTTCCTCCTAACCCAGTGGAAAATCCTTCCCATGCCACTACATTCAAAAACCATTAGAAATCATTGGGGACTTGTAGTTGTTGTTAAATTCCACCCCTACCCCTGGACTGTGAGAGGGTAACCTTTTTCATTTTAAATAGGGGTTGACTTTAATTTGTCCTACAACTTGCTGCCCTGCCTGCCAGGGAAGGAACAATGCAAATAAAATGTTCACACCTCCTCATGAATTTATCCCCAAAAGAAACCATCTTCTCCCTATAAATAAATCAGCATGTATTTATTGAATGACTGCTACTTCTTTATACTCATCATGTGCTCAGGGGCTCTACCTCACCTTGGAAGCCTCCCCAACTCCAAGAAGAGCACCTCCGCTGGGGTCTCTGCACATGTGGCCCTTTGATAAATTAAGAGAGGCAGGACCCTCTCCCACATGTCTGTGTCCAAACCCCATGTCCACAGGAGGGGTAAGGTAGCTAAGACCAGCAGTTGACAGGCACTGAGTTCATGCTCTAACTGTGGCATTCCCATGACTACACTCCTTTTCTGAGAGATAGTGGAGGCCCCAGAGGGTCTGGGTCCATTACCTGGGCTTTCCCTTGCAGGTCTGAGGTGGAGTGTGTGTCGTAGGGTTTACCTCCCTGTTCATTGGATGCACAGAGAACGGCCCTTCCAGAGCATTCTCTGCGAGCTGCAGATGCAGAGAGCTCTGGTTTATGCTGCAACAGGCTCAGAGGCCACCTCAGCTGCGCTGTTAAACCAGCCAGGTGGTTTTATCAACTTTGTGGCTGAAGCGCGTCTGTTTTAAAAAACCTAGATCTCACCCGCAGAGGTTCTGGCCTGGGCTCGGAAAGTGGGCTGAGCGCCGGAGTATCTTACTCTGCGACCCACTGGAACGTGGAGGGTGACTCAGGTAGTTCATGCACGTTTTCCTCATGATTTTGCAATTTTTGCCCGAAACAGTGAAGCAGTTTTGACATCATTCCTACAGCGACCTGGTGCGTGAGCATCACAGCATTCCGGGTCCCTGGGGCGCACCTGGGGTTTCGGGGCCTCCGCTGGCGCCGCGGGGGGAGCGGGCCCGGCCGGGTCCCGCGCCTGCCCGGGTGGGGGTGAGCCCCGCCGGGGCCCAGGCAGATGTGGAGGCGCGTGGAGCTCCGAGAAAGCCCGAGGCCGCCTGGTTTCCCGGGCGCCTGGGGAAGCGGCAGCTTCGGCCTCCTCCGCGGCCACCGCGCGGGGACGGGGACGTCGGGGCCCGGGCGCAGGGGCCGGGGCGGGGCGGGCCGGGGCGGGCCGGGGCCGGGGCGGGGCGGGGCGGGGCCCGCGGAGTCCGGCGGGCGCGGAGGGGCGCGGAGCGGCGCGGAGCGGGGCGGCAGCCGGCGAGGTGGGGTCGGGGGTCAGGAGGGGGCGAGGCGGGGGCGGGGCGCGCGGCCCGGGCGAGGAGTCGGGGCTGCCGAGGGCGGGGGGCGCGTGGGGACCGTGCCCAGAGCCGGGGGCGCCGTCGCGGGCCCAGACGCCCCCCTGCCGCGGCCCCGTCGGGGCTCTGTCCACCCGCCGGGGAGGCGCCGCCCGGCCCCGCGGCGTCCCTGCGCGGGGGGGGGGGCGGCGCGGCGGGCGGGGAGCGGCGCGCGGGCGCTTCCGCGGAGGCGGGGCCGGGGCGGAGGCCGCGCGGCGCGGCGGCTGGAGCCCGGGGCGGGGAGGGGGGTCCTTGCGACGCTGGAGCGGTGCCGTGACTAGCGGGCGAGACCGGCCCTGCGGACGAGCTGACGCCCTCCCTGCGTCCCGCTAGGAGGGGAGAGCCGCGCCGGGATGTGCGGGCGCACGTCCTGCCACCTGCCCCGGGACGCGCTCACCAGGGCCTGCGCCTACCGCGACCGGCAGGGCCGCCGGCGCCTCCCGGAGTGGAGGGACGCGGAGAAGTACCGGCCCTCGTACAACCAGAGCCCGCAGGCCACCAGCCCCGTGCTCCTGTCCCGCCTGCACTTCGAGAAGGTACGGCCCTACCTGCGCGCTGCTCCGGCCTCCCCCAGGGCCACCTGCCTCTGCAGGCGTGCGCGTGCTGAGCCTCCGAGCTGACGTTAAAATCAGCCTCTACGAAGTAATATATTCTTTTTGTTTTCTCAAAGATGTATTTATTTATGCATACAAGAGCTGGGGTACAGGCCAGAGGTGCGGGGGTGAGAGGACTCACCGGAGACAGGGTGGGGAGCAGAACAGGCAGACTGACCAAAGTACGCTGCTGAGGGGAGCAGCGGGAGAGACAGGAGGGGCCTGCTGCGCCATGTGGGTAGCTCCCTGGCCCGGGATTGAACTCCTGCCGCAGTGGCTGTGGATAGCTTCACAGTGTTGACGCTTTTAATCCCTCGTGCGACCAGAGAGGCCCCAAAGTAATATATGCTTAAATCACTATAGAAAAAAATGCATGTCTCCTCCCTTTCTGTGGCTATGCAGATCTCTTTTTTCTTTCTCCTTTTTCTAATAAACCTGACCTTTAAAATATAAAAAAAAGATAAAAATCACTTTATAAAGTTGATTATACCCTATATACTCCTCAGAACTCTTGCAATAATTTGGTAATCAAAACAATCTTCTCTACATGACAAAGATCACATTATTTGAAATAAAACTACCAAATAACATTGATCTTTTTGGGTGAATGAAGCTGTTTACATGAGGTTTTTTTTTTTCTTGTTCCATTTAAATAGATACATAGTTCCTTCTTGAAACAAAAAAGAAAAAGAAAAAATCAACCTTTTAATGAGAGAAATCAAAATAACATGGGGGGGGGCTTTGACTGGGAAAGAGAAAATAAAACATGTTTCAAAGGAAAGCAAATTCTTTTCACTTTAAAGTGAAAAGAGAGAGAAGGATTAAGTGTATGAGCTGTATTCTGTTTTTGCCTTGGTTCCCTTAATACCAGCTCTTCAGAATTATGGAGTGAATGTTAGCTGAAAGAAAATTTTGTGTAACAAGTATAAAGATGGAAATGCAGAAAGATTATGACTTATCCTGAATTACCCATTAGTGAGGGACTGAACTGGGACTGAGTTCCAGAACACTGTCCCACTCCAGTGGATACTTCTGGGCACTAGGAGTGGGGGAGGTAGAGCCCCTGGCAAATGGAGCCCTTCTTTTCTGTCAGTGGTATGAATTTGTTGATGTAGTGTTTTGAGTCTACAACTTTAGTACATTTTGTTCAGATTACTAGGGTTTCCTAATTTTAATAAATATTTGAGGTTTCATTTTTCTCAAACCTGTAAATTGTAAAGCAAAATTAAAATTAGTACATCACAGGAGCTCATTAATCCATATCATCAACGGCCAGCACATGTGTATAGATTGCAACATTTGCATTTGAAACCACTGATTAGCAAATTACTTCCTTTTTCATTTATCTGCCCCAGTGCTTCCAGCTGTTCTGGTCACAAATCCAAAAGGGTAAAGATGACTAATATTGAGCAATTATTTTTAGTATTTTGGCTTTTCAGTCACTTTCTGTTCATCATTCCCACTAGGGGGCAGTCACACATTTGGGTTTGGTTTACAGTTGTCCAATGAACACTCAAGTTAAAGATCAGTGGGATTTGTTAAGAGTAGTATTTCTCAATCCCTGCACTGTTGCCATTTTGGGTGGAATAATTCTGTTGTGGAAAGCCGTCCTGTGCACTGTAGACTGTTTCGCGGCATCACTGCCTTTACCCAGTAGATGCTGCTAACACCCACCTTCAAATGTGCCTTCCATGCAGAAGGGCCCGCAGTACAAAGCATAAATGAAGAGAGAGAATATTATATAATGGCCAACTAAATGTTTCACCAGAAATTTGCAAGACAATAATACTCTAAGGTTATCAACATGAGGTGATTTTAACACCCATCCACACCAACCCTAAGACCAGGGGCGAGAAATGGACCTGGGTGCTGCTGGCATATAGTGGGTAGGTTAGGCAATATCAGAAGACATTCTTGGTTGAAATAACATTGGGGGGTGCTACTGGCATTTAGTTGGTAGAGGCTAGAGATCTGGCCCACTGCCTGTTTTTTCGTAAAGAAAGTTTTAGTAGAATACAACCATGCTCATTCTTTGGGTACTTTCACACAACCAGTGGTGGCAGAGTTGAGGTGCTTGAGTCATTGTGACAGAAACTGTATGGATTCACAAAACTGAAAATATTTACTGGCTGGCCTTTTACAGAGAAGGTTTGTTGACCTATTTTCCCATTATCATGCTGCCTCCTAAGTTTTAATTCCACATCTCTGAGTGCTTGTTGGACATAGTAAGCAGCACCACTTGGATTTTATTCTAGTAAATTAAAACAACCTTTCTATTATGTTTACCAGTGAGAAATTAGGATAAGGCATTACAGGTATGATTTGTTTCTCCCCTGAATTCTAGGGCCTCAGCAGAAGATAGTTGGCCTCTGGAACTCAAGTCCATCTAGAGCATGAATCAGAAAACTAGGTCCGTTTACATTTTGTAATTTTCTGGAACACAGCAACATCCATGGCTGCGTTGTCCCTGTAACAGCAGCTGTATTGCAACAGAGACTGTATGGCCTACAAAGTCTGTAACGCTTAACATCTGGCCTTTTACAGAGAAGCTTGCCATCCTTTGCTCTAGAGGCACCTTCACACTCACTCGTCTGACAGTTGATGTTGCCTCTCAGCTGCAGCTGTTGATCAGAGCATGTGCATCTCCACGCAGCGTGGGCCCCTCCCAGCAGGGCAGCCTTAGAGTAGCTCGATTTCCTACCTGGCAACTCAGAGCCCTGGAAGCAGGGCTCAGCAAATAAGGAAGAAGCCAAAACACCTTTTCTGACCCAGCCTTAGAAATCATACATTGTCATTTGCGCTCCATTCTCTTAGCTACAAACAAGTGACAAGCACATCCTGAGTCAAGGGAAGGGAACATAGGCTCCCAGTTCTCAGTGGAAAGAATGTCAAAGATTGTCCAGCCATTTAAACTCCCATAGATTTCCTGTTACTATCTGAGAGTCAACATTTCCTCTTTCCCCAAATCAAATCCCTCTTCACATTTTTCTCTTTTGTCTAGTAGTACCATCGTTATGGTACTCTTCTAGGCTTGAAAATTTATCACTCTTTTCTTTTTCCATTCACCATAATAATTGAATTTTTTTCTGATCTTTTGGATATATTTTATTCTCATTACTATCATCAGGCTCATGAACCCTGGTAAAAGCACCCAAGTCTATTCTGCTCATTGGTCTCTTCCAACCCATAATGTGCTATGCAGAATAGTGTGTATATGCATTTCAATATAGATTTCATCAAATTATCAAATTTTCACCAATTATTAACTGGTCAAATTAGACCAGTTACCCAAAAGAAATTTAATGACTATGTTAAACTACCCCCACACTTGGAGATTTTTTAGGAACCTTCGGCATAGAAAGCATATCATGGCTAAGGTTTGAAACAGTAGAAGGACACAGAATAAAATCAGCAAGATGGAAAGAGCAGGTCGAAAACTGAAAAAATCCATGCACAGGCTTCTTGATGCTCTCTTCTTTCTATGGGAGGACACGCCAAACATGTTCCTTTTCCTGAAAGAAAAAAATGTAGGAACACATGTAGGTCCTATACACAGGACAGCCTTGACTTCCTAAACATGGCATCCATGGGCTTGTTGTTGACTCTTTCTGCTTCCTACACATTCTTGACATGACCTCCTTACTCATCTAATTTTGTACCTGATCTTCCCTCCCATCTCTTGTCTGAATCCTGTGCCTCTTACAGAATATAATTCAAGAACCACTCCCAAGGGCCTCCCCTGGTGGCACAGCAGTTGAGTGCTGGGCTGCAAAGCTGCCTGCAGCCTCTGTAGCGCTGGTTTGATCCCCTGGCGAGGGTCCCACATGGCGCGCAGACCTCTCCTGCGCACAGCAGTGTATTTCGTCGGTCTGCCTGTTCTGTTCCCCCTCTCTGGCTGTGGTGAATTCTCTCACCCTCCCGTGCTTCTGACTGTACCCAGTGCTTGTATAAATAAATAAATAAATCTTTTAAAAAAAAAAAAAATGGGTTCGATCCCAGCCAGCCGTTGAGAATCCCACATGGCGAGGCAGACCTCTCCTGTCTCGCCCGCTGCTCCCCTCAGCAGTGTGTTTCATCAGTGTGCCTGTTCTGTTCTCCGCTCTGTCTCTGGTGAATCCTCTCATCCTCCCACACCTCTGGCCTGTACCCTGGCTCTTGTATAAAAATAAATAAATCTTAAAAAAAAAAAAAGAACCACTCCCCAGCCACCCCCACCCCCTCTACTCCTTCTAAGGAGCTGATACTTCTCCATTGCATTCTTTAGATCACTCTCCACTGAACTCCTTTAACGTTGTACGTACTGCTTATGGCCTTTTGCATGTAGTATCTTACATTTTTCATTTGCATGGCCTCACATTATAGCACAATCCTTTGAGGTTGTATACCCCGATAGCACCCTGTTTATCCCTGATCATAGCTAATACCCCACTTTATTATGGTCTATCCTTTTTCTGTGCAGGGCGCAGACTCATCTGAGCGTATCATTGCTCCCATGCGATGGGGCTTAATTCCATTTTGGTTCAAAGAATGTGATCCTTCCAAACTGAAGTTCAACATGTCCAACTGTCGTAGTGATACCATAATGGAGAAACGGTCATTCAAGGTAGGTAGCTGCTCTAGGGGAAAGCACATATTCTCTTCTTTTTCCTAACCGAGCTGTTAGTATGTTCCCATTTATTAATACTGAGTGCTGTTCTGTTATGTGCCAAACAACTTAGTGGTTTAAAACAAAGCAGTTTTTTATCTCTCATCTATGGGTTAACTGGACTCAACTTCACAGTTTCTACTTGGAGGTGTTCATGCAGTAAGAAACAAATGACAGCTGGGCCAAAATGCCTTCTTCACCCACGTGTCGAACTCCTTATCTGGGATGGCCAGAACTGGAACATAAGCCTAACTGGGAGGAGGCAATGTGGTCAGGCTTCTTACATGATGTCTGGCTTACCCTCCAGCCCATGATCCAAGGGAGCAGAGCAAAAGCTTCAAGGCTTTGTGGCAAAGCCCTGGCAGTCACGCAGTATCATTTCTGCTGCTTTCTACCAGAGCCAGCCCAGAGCTGGTGTGGACAGGACTGCGTAGGGTATGACTGCTGGGAGGTGTGGTGGTGGGGCCACCAGCTTTGGAGACTGTCACAAGAGCTGATTTGGTAACGAGCTGGTGCGCTAATGTACACTAATCTTTCAACATTTGTGTGAGTGGTGACTTTATACATAAGTTTGGTAAGATAAATGAAATATTGTATGGCCACACGTTAGTGCACCTGAGATTTTAACTTACATCCAAGGAACATGATTCTATCACTAAAACTGTATCTTGCCCACATTTTCCCTCAGGTGCCTCTGGGAAAGGGAAGACGCTGCGTGGTTTTAGCAGATGGATTCTATGAGTGGCAGCGAATTCAACTATCAAGCCAGAGGCAGCCGTACTTTATCTACTTCCCCCAAACCAATACAAAAAAGGTATTGTTGGGCCTCCCCGCTGGCGCAGCAGTTGAGCACTGGGTTGCGAAGCTGCCCGCAGCCTCTGCAGTGCCGGTTCGATCCCCGGCTGCTCCCCGGCCACCGGAAGAGGGTCCCACATGGCACGCAGACCTCTCCTGCCGCCCGCTGCCCCCCTCAGCAGTGTACTTCGGTCCTTCTGCCTGCTCTGCTCCCCGCTCTGGCTCTGGTGAATTCTCTCACCCTCCCGCACTTCTGACTGTACCCAGTGCTTGTATAAATAAAAAAAATAATTCTTTAAAAAAAAAAAAAAAAAAAGGTATTGTCATCAGCATTCAGTTGATACTTGGAAAGGTACAAAGAAACTGATCCAAACAGGGACATTTTTTTCTTCCCTCATAGTTTTTTTTTAATAACAGTGATTTTTTTTTTTTAGTATATTCTAAATTGTACAACCACCATCACTATCTAATTTTGGAACATTACTTATCCCCCCAAAAAGAAACCCTGTATCCATGAGCAGTCACTCTTCATTCCCTGTTCCCCAGAACCCTCTCAACCACTAATCTACTGTCTATTGATTTGCCGGTTTTGGATATTTCACATTATGGAATCATACAACATGTGGTCTTCTGTATCTGCCTTCGTATGCTTAGCATAATGTTTTCAACTTCATGCTTTTAAAGACTGTAGCAGTACTTCAGACACATTTTATTCATTCACCAGTTGATAGAAGCTTAAGCTATTTGTACTTTTTGACTGTTGTGAATAATGCTGCCAAGGATAATCATGTACACTCATTGTTGTGCCTATGTGTTTTAATTCTTCTTGGGCTTATGCATAGGAGGAGAGTTGCTAGGTTATTACATGGCAACTTTATGTGTAACGTCCCTCAGAAAGCTTTCATTTTCAGACATAATTTGACTTGTCCATATAACATTAGAGGGACATTGAAAACAAAACAGGCAGGCCGGTATCATGTTTTCTCTTTAGAGTTGTTACTCTTTGACAATGCTAAAATTTTGCTTCCTTATCACAGTTTACTTTGTTAAAATTGGGAGTTGTTTGCTCTTCAGATTACAGCATCACATTTTGGGGACTTCTCAGTCAAGAATGTTTGTACCATCATCAAAAGATCCCCTCTCTAGCCAAATCACACAAAAAATGAAAATGAACATCAATCGTACTAGTTAAATACTTACTGTGAGCCACGTACTCTTTCTTGGAACTTAGAGTGTTAATTTAGTATTCTAATAACCCTGTGAAAAAAGTACAGGTATTCTCAGTTACAGATGAAGAAGCAGAGATGACAGGAAATGTAAAAACTCTTGTTCTCCCAAACTTTAACTTACCTAATGACCATTCATTCACCACACAACAGTTACTAAAACCTTTAATTCTGAGTGGTTTGGGCAAGAACCAGATTTGTACTATTTTTTTTAAGACTTATTTATTTATGCACACAAGAGCTGGGATGTAGGCCAGGTGCGGGGGGTGACAGGATTCCCCAGAGACAGAGTGGGGAGCAGAACAGGCAGATCCACTGAAATACACTGCTGAGGGGAGCAGCAGGTGAGACAGGAGAGGTCTGCTGCGCCATGTGAGTTGCTCCTTTGCTGGCTGGGAATCAAACTTGTGCTGCAGTGGCTGGCGATAGCTTGATAACGCTGTCTTTAACCCCTGTACCACCAGGTAGGCCCGGGTAAGGGCTGATTTTTCCAGAGGGTTTTTCTCAGTAGCCCTGTTCCCTTCCACTGTGTCTTTCAAGAGGATCTCTCCATGCTCTTGCTCCTTCCCCAGAGGGGACTGCTGCTGCTTGTTACTTGGTGCTTGCTGATCTGAAAGGCGGGGGGAAGGGGGGGGAATTCTCTGTTGTCTTGCTTCAGTCTTGGTCTCAGACACAACTCTGTCCCCGGCTCTCAGGCTTAGCTTTCTCAGCAGTTCTGTACCTTCCCCAGGGAAATAAAAGGGTTTTTTTCTTTTTCCCCTCCTCAGTCTCTAAGGGACTTCAGTATCTCTGGGTGAGAGAATATATTACTCTTTTCCAGATCCCTTAAGGCTTTTGTCCCTTAAGAGAAGTGATCAGGTAAAGCTTTATGCTTTTCCTGAAGCAGATGAGCTCCCCCTCTCTAGGCACCAACAAAGAAGGCTTTCTGCATCTCTTACCCCATCCACTGTCTTCTGAGCAGCTGGGGAGGTCTCCTGGGGAAGAATCTGCCAGCTCATGCAAATTCTCCTGGTGTCTCCAGCTCCCAGGGATTTTGAACCTCCAGGCTAGCCCACACTCTGCTTTTAGTAATATGATCATTTTATCTGATTTTCTTTTTTTTTTTTTTTTTTTTTTTTTTTTTTTTTTTTATAGAGGCATGTTTTATTTATTTATTTATTTGTTTGTTCATTTGTTTTGTTTATACATGCACTGGGTACAGTCAGAAGCGCGGGAGGGTGAGAGAATTCACCAGAGCCAGAGCGGGGAGCAGAACAGGCAGAAGGACCGAAGTACACTGCTGAGGGGAGCAGCGGGTGGCAGGAGAGGTCTGCGCACCATGTGGGACCCTCCTCCGGTGGCCGGGGAGCAGCCGGGAATCGAACCGGCGCCGCAGAGGCTGCGGGCAGCTTCGCAACCCAGCGCTCTACCGCTGCGCCACCGGGGAGGCCCTTATCTGATTTTCTTACTTGCTGTCTGATTCCTTTATCTACCAGTAAGCCAGGACTCGTGTTTCATCTTCCCTTAGAGGCCCCTTTTTTCCATAAAGCTCTAATTGGTAGCCCTGTGACCTCAGTGCATTCATGTAACCTCACCATTCATGCAACATAGTACAATGAAAACCACAGAACTTATGGAAAAAGTGAGGTTAAGGGGACAGTGCTTAAAAGCTGTCAGTGACACACTAAAAATAGTAGAGATTGAATAAAATGAGAAAAGTTATGATTTTATAGATTATCTAGGTTTTTCTTACTAGTGGGGTAGAGGTAACACTTTTAAACTTTCTGTATTCTAGGCCTTGACCCGAATCTTAAGTGGCAAGTAGGAGTTGTGTGATGGAAAAGGGTAGGGAGGACATTTTGAGTTCAAGAATGCTGCTTGGCAAGGCTAAGGAGCATGGAATTGCATGAGGACTTAATTTTCCAAAAGCTGGGTCTGGTTCATAGTAACCTTATTAAGTGAAAGCTGGAATGATAGAAGTGAATGTCCAGTGAAGGTGATAAACTGTATTCTGAAAGCATTAAGAAACCATAAATCTATAGCTTCACTTGGTATTGGCCACCAAGCCTCTTCTCTTTGGTGATAGTGGATGAAAGGTGTTAATAAGGCCTGGGCTGAATGACTTCTGAAATGGTTGCCATGCTCTTAGCCTGTGTGTACCCAGCCTCTGTGCAGAAGGTGGCTACCGAGTATCTCATGTCTGCTCATATTATTTTGCTCCCAGTCAGGCAACACTGAGACTGCAGACAGTCCTGAAGATTGGGAGAAAGTCTGGGACAACTGGAGGCTGCTGACAATGGCTGGGATCTTTGACTGCTGGGAGCCCCCAGAGGGAGGAGACTGCCTGTATTCCTACACCATCATCACGGTGGATTCTTGCAAAGGCTTGAATGACATCCACCCCAGGCAAGTCACACTTCTTATCCCTCGGTCCAGAAGAATTCAGAGCAGGTAGCTAGATGAGATGGTTTTCAGAATTCGGAATTTCCATATGCACACAGCTAGAAGATGGATCATTCACAAAATGTAGTTAGAGTCAGTTCAGATGGTACATAGCTTGCATTCCTAAAAATCACCATTCATGTGATATAGTACAATGAAAACCACAGAACTTATGGAAAAAGTGGGGTTAAGGGACAGTACTTAAAAGCTGTCAGTGACATGCTAAAAATAATAGGGATTGAATAAAAACTACCATAGTTTTATACATTAAATGATTAATTCATAGATTCTGCAATAAATATGGCACTTTACCTTAAAAAGGCCCAAAGTTTGCTTGTGGAAGTGAATGTCAGAAGAGTTGCAACTTGTGAGTTATTGTGCAGTGGTGGAAGGAAAGCTATAAAAAAATTATGACCTTTTGAGGTCTTTAATCCTTGGGATGTTTTTGTGCATTTGAAATATATTTTCTTTGAGGCATGCATTTATAATAGATGCATGTTTCATCAAAGTTGGAACATTTTAATCCAATACGTAGCCTCTGTCAGTTAATTTCTGTATCACTGCTGGAAGTTCTTTGGCAGCATTTTCATCTGTATTCATCCTGTCTCTTTGGCTGTCATCTGACAGCCAAAAGCTTTGGAAATTGCAGCAGTGTTTGAAAAGGAGTTCACTTCTGTAATATTTCAGATATTTATGTATAGATGTACTTCCTTGTGAGGAAAGTTTCCCATTTTCCCACTATTTGGCATTCAGTCCATATGCTAAAGAATCTAATTCCATTTCTTTAGGTCTGATTGGCATTGACTTCACAACACTTCTTAAGGTTGTTCCAACCATGGACATTCTTTTTATTTTTAGTGTCGTCACTAACATGGATTCCTACCATATGTTCTCTTTTTACTTTCAAGATTTTCTTTTGCTTCAAACTTCTGAGTACTTAAAAGTTTTCCATTTGCATGTACTGCTTAGCATATTTTGATCTGGGAAACTGATATGTTGAGATGTTTAAGTGTTTTTTTTTTTTTTTTAATAGCAAGTCTCAGCTTGGTAGGATAATATGCAGTGAGTGGAGGTAGCTGTCACGTTTGAGGTGTGTGCACGTGTACATTTTGTATACTCCTACAAGGTTCACCTCAGCTGATTGCAGTTCTCTGTGTTCACCTTGTTCTTCTCATAGACAAAACTAGTTATACATTGTCACTGTCTGTGCCATGAATCTCTAAACTCAATCTCTGGCTGTGGAATTTTGTGCCATTTCAAGTTGTGCAGGGAGCACAGGGCAACAGTCAGCATGGTGGTGCAGAGGGAGGGTCAGCTTCCCCTTGTGCTGATTTGTACCATCTGCTGACTCAAGTCTGTCTCCCCGCTCGCCCTATCTTTCCTAACCAATGGCTTGACCTGGCCAGGATGCCTGCCATATTAGACGGCGAGGAGGCAGTCTCTAAATGGCTTGACTTCGGTGAGGTCTCAACCCAGGAAGCGCTGAAGTTAATCCACCCCACAGAGAACATCACCTTCCACCCAGTCTCTCTCGTAGTGAACAACTCTCGAAACAACACACCAGAGTGCGTGACTCCTGTTGACTTACTGGACAAAAAGGTAGGGGTCTGTGACCTGACCCTCCATTTTGAGTTTCCTGTCTTGTCAAGATGGCCTTTTCTTTTAGGATGTGACTGTTTACCCTCAGACCTCTAATTTAAGCCACCAAATACTCATTCCTTGTGCATGGCAAGTCAAGCAGGACAGTGACTGTCCTAGCTGTCTGTGACCGGAGCCCTTTCAGAATGTGAGTGCTGGACCCTCTCTAGGCCTGTTGAGTCAGGTAGATAGGGCGAGGTATGCAGGGCTGGCTTGGGCTTCTGTGTTATTGAGAGTCTGATAATAAGCCAAATTTGGGGCTAATCCAGAGGGTGATTGTGAGAGAGACAAAAGAGCCCTTGACCATAATTGTATCTCCACAACCAATGATGTGATTTTTTGGTCTCTTTTCCATACCTCTGCTTTCCCAACTGCAAGTTAGAGGAGTTCTTCTCCTCACTCTCCTTGAAAAGGGCTTGAGCATGAACTTTAACTTAGAAATGGCAGGAATCCAGAAGATGTAATTTGAAAGAAAGCAGAACAAGCAAAACGTTTGCATTGGGGAGAGAGGTTCCAGAGCAGAAGGTGGCCCCTACCAACGTTTAGGGATGAAGGTTTGGGAGCAGCCTAAAGTAGGACATGGGTGAGTGCCCCACGAATAGGCATCTCAGAATGCCTATTGGCATTCTTGGCACAGGTAAAGGGTGGTGATTGCAAAAACACCTCCCCCTCCCCCATTTTCCTTAAAGATTTCCACCCCCACAGTCAATGTCCTCTTTTCCTGTTGTCTTGGTTCTCTGAAAACTCCGTAACTCTGACATATTTTCATTAGCTGCTTCTTAAAACATAATCATCTACATTCATTTTGCACTAGACACTGCCCTGTTTCTACCATGGTCTTTATTCCAAAAGTATTCACATTTTGGGGCCTCCCTGGTGCTGTAGGTGTTATCAAGCTATCATCAGCCACTGTGGTATGAGTTCGATCCCCGGCCAGGGTGCTGACCCATACATGGCGCAGCAGACCTCTCCTGTCTCACCCGCTGCTCCCCTCAGCAGTGTATTTCATTAGGGCCGCCTGTTCTGCTCCCTTCTCTGTCTCTGGTGAATCCCCTCATCCCCAGCACCTCTGCCTACACCCCAGTTCTTGCATGCATTAAAAAAAATAAATCTTTAAAAAAAAAGAATTCACATTTTGGGGAGGCAGCATTATGTGAATTCAGACCTTCAGTTCAGGGTCAGGCTGTCAGGTGTGAGGGAAGTACAAGGGAGCAGTGCCAGTCAGGGAGAGGCTGGTGGAGGGCTGCACAGGAGGGAGGCAGTTCCTTCAGCCCGGGGCTGGATCCCCCATCACTGTCTTGAAGCCATACCTCTCCATCTTCACTCCCCAACACCCTGCCGTCACATTGAATGTCTCTTTTCCCTGAAGATCCTTCATTCTCAGCATGTTTGGAATGCCCGTCTACTCTCTTCTCTGACTGTCCCACACACCTCCGTGAAGCCTGGGACTCTGAGAGTCACGCCCTAGCCCTGCGGAGCACACTCAGTTGTTCCTCTCTCCCTGCTTGGATTAATTGGCTCCATCGGCCCTTGGTAACACTTTCCAAGCCTGGGTCAGTCAGTACCTAATACCTTCACCCTGTTACTTCCTTGAAGTTGACCTTTTTCCAAAAGCTTGAGCTGGGTGGTTTGAGCTTTTTCTCTTTCCTCTAGGAAGTCAAAGCAAGTGGGAGCAGCCAGAAAATGTTGCAATGGCTGGCCACCAAGTCACCCAAAAAGGAGGAACCAAAGACACCTGAAAAGGCAGAGTCAGATGTGCCCCAGTGGTCCAGTCAGTTCCTGCAGAAGAGCCCCCTTGCCAGCAAGAGGAGCAGTGCAGGACTCCTGGAGCGATGGTTGAAGCAGGAGAAGGAGGAGGAGCCCGTGGCCAAGCGGCCTCACTGCCAGTAAAGCAGGACTTTTCCAGATCAAGCCGTGATTTACTGCGTAAATACGATCGTCGAGAAAGGTTCTTGCTCTGTATGTGTGTGGGTTTGCTTTGGGAGGAAATGGGACAGTGTTAGTTGGCAGCTGTGGGTTCACGGAGGGAGCGGCTGTGCTGGGGCCAGTGGCATCCCTGCATCCTGGCCATGCTGGCGGAGCCTTCCCTCAAAGCCTGAGCCGGTGCTGCTAGTACAGGGCTGTTTTCTGCTCAGCCTTTGGGCTTTTTCAGTCTTTTAAAATTAAGTTCTAAAAAACATTGTATTTTCTCTGGATATAGTTAATAAACTGTCTACCTTTCAGAAAAAGCTGCTGGTGGGCGGAGTTCCGGGTCATGTTTTCTCTTAGCATCAGCCGTAGGAGTGGATTTGCTACACACAGGGCGCTGGGGCTTACTGTGGACAAAAGCATTTTTGGAAACAGTAATAAGGTTTGCTGGGGGGACACTTTGTCAATCTCTTTTCGTTCTTAATTCCTGGAAGTTTGAATCCTTTAGCTTCGAAGCAGCCTGACTACCTGCCAAACACAAGGGGCTGGGTGGAGAATAGGGTGCGGAAGCCAAGACCTTGTCCTCAGCAAGGCTCTGGGTGAGAAGCCTCAGTTTCCGCCCACAGGCCCTCTCTGGACTTCCAGGGTAGAACTGGGAATGGGGCTAATGGGGCAGGTGGGGTGGGGGCAAGGAGCAAGGCTGCCCCAACCTGGCCACAGCTCCTGAGTTGTGCTCTGTAGGCCTCTCCTGGCACTGAGTCGTTTTATTAGGTATTCGGGGTGGTTATCTGTTTTCTGCTCTCCTCCCAGATCACTAGCTCTGTGAAAGCAGGGACCACTTTTCACCATTATTTTTTTTCCAGTGTTAATAGTCGATGTGCAAGTATATTAATGAATCTAAGAACTTACTACAGGCCCACCCTGTGCTACCACGGGAGGCCACAGGCACCAATCAGATACCGCACCTAACAATTGAGTACGTACTCATAAGTGCGCCCCAAAGGATACCATGAGCAAGAGGGCCGCTGTGGGTACTGGTACTCCAGCAAGGCCAAAGCCACGTCCCTAAAGGTCAAGCTCGTAGAGGCCCAGAGGCAGAGGAGAGGATGCAGGGGACGGAACTGAATCTTCAGATGTGCCACAGTCGGTCAGCTCCTCCTCCTTTGTGGAGTCCAGGAGACGGGAACTTGCAAAATGAGTCCCAGGTGGCTGGACTCAAAGGGGCTCTGAGGCGACCGGGGAGGACTGGGCTTTGGCCCCAGACTGCAGCTGTTCTGCCACCACACAGCACCAGGCAGCCCATGGCCCCTTGGGCCCACTCTGGGCCCAGTGCAGAAGCCGCCAGCCCAGTTGGGGGCCTGGCCTTGGCCCTATGCAAATGAGGGATGCAATTTCCACCAGTCAGGGAAGATGGGTGCTGTGGCTGCTAAAGCACTCCCCACAGCTGGGGGTGGGGTGGGGGTTGCAGAGCCAGGGGTCCCAGCATGGATCCTGCAGTAGCTCCTCCGGGCCACCTCTGTGTTGCTCTGTCAGCTCCCTCCCTGTCGGTTGAGGCGGTAGCGTTGGCCCACAGCAGCTGCCTACCCAGTCACTCTGCACTGTGACTCTAGTTTTGTCTGGACTGATTAGAGAGAGCCTTGGTGTGTGGTCATGGAAAAGAGAGAGAGCAAGAGTTGGCCTTGACTCCTAGGTCCCACTTGGGCCTGCACACCCTCTCTCCTGCTTCTCTACCAGAGTGAGCAGCAGGTGACGGGAAAGGTAGAAACGCATTCCCTGAGGAAAGAAGCTTTGACTCAGGCTGTTTGGATGTCCCCAGTCCATGCAAACCTTTGAACAGGTCCTTTGTCCTCTCTGGGAGACTTGGTTTGCCCAGTTCTGAATCCAGAGAAGGGATACTCACAGCTGAACTCCCAGGAGCCAGAGGGCCAGATGCTGCTTGTCAGAGACCCAGAACTGACCTCTGGGCTGGTGTTCCTCTCGTGGAGATGGGCGGGCATATCCCCCCTCCCCTGGTGTTGCGGGGACTCCTGGGAGAAGAGGCTGCAGGCAACACCACCAGTGGGCAGCAGAAGGCAGAGGACAGTTTAGAGGAATTGGGGGTATCAGTGAAAGGAGTTCAGTCAAGCTGAACAATATAAAACGTTTTCAAGGGCAGCCAGGCTGGGCAAGGGCCCCAGTTGCACACTTCTAGTCACCTGCAGAGGCAGCCAGAAGCTAGGAGCTGGGAGAGCTAAGAGGAGGTGGGGCCTCCTGGGAGGACATGTCTGCTGGGTGTACGGGGCAAGGAGATCCGTGAAGTCCCAGGTAGAGAGGTGGCTGCCATGGTGCAGACACAGTCAGGGACTTTCTCCATTTTATGGCTTCCTTTGGTTCCGTTTCCTTCAGGACACCAGCATACAAGGCCCCATATGAGATCAAAGGCAACTGCAGGTCACATTGAGCTCACATATGATTTTATTTGACCCAAATGGTATTTATTTATTTTAAAGATTTTTTTTTGTTTATGTATACAAGAACTGGGGTACAGGCCAGAGGTGTAGGGGGTGAGAGGAGTGGGGAACCGGACAGGTAGATTGACTGAAATACACCGTGTAGGGGAGCAGCGGGTGCGACAGGAGAGGTCTGCTGTGCCATGTGGGTAGCTCCCTGGCCGGCCTTGGATTGAATTCATGCTGCAGAGGCTACATATAGCTTCACAGTGCTGTGCCTAACCCCTTGTACCACCAGGGAGGCCCAGTATTTATTTTTAACCATAGTAAATGCACATCAAAACCACCATCTTAACCATTTTGAAGTGCATGGCTCAGTAGGTTATGCATCTCCACCTACTTGTGCATCCAAACTCCAGAACATTTTCATCTTGCAAAACTGAAACTCCGCCCCCCTCAACAACTGTCCAGTCTGCCCCCCCACTAACCCCTGGCCACCACCATTCTACTTTTGGTCTGTGAATTTGACTATTCTAGATATTTCATATAAGTGGAATCATACAGTACTTATCTTTTTGTGACTAGCTCATTTCACCTGGCACGGTATTTTCAAGGTTCAGCCACACTGTAGTGAAAGTTAGAATTCCTTCTGTTTTAAGGCAGAATGAGGATGCACTGCCGGGCCCACCCCATGTTTTGTTTATCCATTCATGTGGTGATGGACACAGGTGTCTTCCACCTTCTGGCTGGCGTGAATAGTGCTGCTGTGAACATGAGTGTTCCTGTCCTGACCTTCAGTTCTCTGGGGCATATACCCAGCTGGCCGCATCATAGGATAATTCTATGTTTTCTTTTTTAAGGAACTTCATATTTTTCACAGCAGCTGCCCCTTCTTAGGTTCCCACTAGCAGTGCACGAGCGTTTCCATTCCTCGTCCTCACCAACAAGTTCCATTCCTTATTCTGCTGTTTGGTTTTTATAGCAGCTCTCTGGAGTAGGTGTGTAGAGGAATATTTCTTTTTTAAAGCCCACCTTTTGGAAGTGACATGTTTCATAAAAAGTTTGTAGTTTCCGTATAAAAAATTCTCAGTAGGTGCCTCTGACGATATAGCCCCAAGTGGGAGTACGGCCAGGCTGAGGCAGGCTCCAAGGGCACCTGGCATGGCCCAACCCACTTCCCTCAGGAAGGAGCCACAAAAACATTTTTAGGAAATGCTTCTGACAGGAGCTGAACAAGCAGGCGCTCTGGCCATGCTGAGCCCCCAGTCGGCAGAGTGGGCCCTTCTGGCAGCACAAGGGCTGTGGCCCATTGGTCAGCCCAGTCTGACCCGGCGCCTGTCCCACTCGGGTATGAGCCCCTCCTCACCCTCATCCCCCACATACCCATTATAATGGGGACCTGAGGTGGCTTTGCTGTGTCAACTTGGCTAGGCTGATCTACATTTCCCGCATTACCTTGTGTGTTTCTGCTGAGGCAGATTCTTGTCACATTTGGAAAGAAGTGACCATCTGGTTGATGATTTGCTGCTCTACCTCCTGGGGTGAAGCAGCACCTGGGTCCCCAGAGACTACAGTCGCTGCATCCATTTCTCAGTTCCTGGGTCAGACGTGCATAGTCTCAGTGACTGCAGGATGTCTTCATCCCTGAGGTCAGAGGCAACAAGAACAGACTTGGTTTTCAATCTGCCCTGCAGTCCAGCTTGTGCTGATGGGGTTCCAGCCTTATAGAAATGGCTTCATCAGCCCCACAAGTGTGCAGGCCAGTTCCCTGTCACCACCCAATACACAGGGGTGGATATGCGTTGCCTTCTCTTCTGACTCTGCCTCTCCCTCAACTCTGACACGGACACATGAGGGCTGGTTCCTGCTCACTATTCTGGCCTCCCACCACATCAGTCTCCTTGTTTTCACCATGCCCTGCCTTGGGAGCTTTTATATACCCAGTGGCCTGTGTTAGTGCTGCTCCAGTCTGGAATGCTCCTCTCAGGAAGCCACAGGTGTTTCCATGTGCCTCTTGCACACAGATGGGAACAGGGAGCTGGTCTGACAGCGACAGCCCTGGCTCTGCGCAGCCAGTGTGTCCTCAGCGAAGGAATGTGCGCTAGGCCTTTGATGTTGCAGGTCAAAGGGTTAAAAACTCAGTCTTTCTTGCCTTGCAGACCAGGATTGGAAGTCTTAAACAGACAAGGGGATTTGCAGAAGTTGCCTTGGCCCCTGAGAACTTGGGCAGATAAAGGAATCCAAATGATTGTTACTGAGCCAGGGCTTTAAGGCCCATCTGTGGCCTTTAAAGGGCCTCCCCTGGTGGCGCAGCGGTTGAGCGCTGGGCTGTGAGGCTGCCTGCAGCATCTGCAGCGCCATCGTTCCCTGGCTGCCAGCGAGGGTCCCACAAAAAAAAAAAAAAAAAAAAAAAAAGCTAATGTAAATTCTAAAGGAATGCAGGGTCTGATCTCGGCCTGCCATTCGAGAGGATAACAGCCAGCACAGACATGTGTCCTAAAGGTAGAAAGCCCACAAGTTGAGAGTATAAAAAGTGCTTCAAACTTCCTGCCAGCACAGACACTGAATTCTTTCACCCCCGCATCCCCTCACGGACATTGTTTTCTTCACACGGTGCTTGACACACGAGAGCCCAGTCCGTTCTGATACTTCTGCAAGTATCTGCCCCCATTTTGCAAGTGCCAGTGGCTCCCATCTCAGTTGCTGTGGAAAGAACTAGGTCCTCTCAGCTACCTACTTGGAGCAGCCAGGACAGCCTGTGGCCCTGGGCCACATCCCCCAAGGTCGGATGGCTGGGAGAAAGAGCAGTCAGTGCCCCTGGTAATGAGTGTGCAGACCTTCCCAGCAGGCCCTGTGCTCAGGATAAGCCCTGCCATAGCCAAGGAACAGGTTCAGTTTGGGGCCCGGCGGGAGGTAGCAAGGGGCCCTCTGCAGTGTCTGCAGGACTATGCTGGAGCCAGGGAGAAGTGGGAGCTAGGGAGCTAGGAGGAGGCTCACCAGGAGGCAGGTTCCATGACCTGGGGGTGTAAGGGACCCTGCCTAGTTAGCAGTTACATGAGGGAAAACGCTTTCTTGGCTCTACTTAAAGATGAGGAAACTGAGGCTTGGGGAGAATAATCTTGTCCCAGACCAAAAGACCATGATGGAATCAGGCCCAGAACCTTGACCTCAGCCTCGGCCCACCTAAAGCCCCTCCTGATCAATGGGTGCAGACAAGAGCCCCAGCCCGGACCAAGCCTAAAAGCTTTCCTCCTGGGCATTGCAGTTCACCTGGAATTATGGATCCTCAATGCCAATCACAAGACACAGGGAGAAAATGGTGGATCTTGGACTCCCCAGGCTAGTGCAGAGGCTGAGTGGGGTGCCAGAGCAGAAGATGGGTGGGCTTCTGTTTTGGCCACGTGTTGGCTGCAAGACCTCTTCCCCATCTCAGCACCAGCACCAGCCAGGTGACGAGCTAGAGCGGTCTCGAACCTGAGGCGGCCCAAGCAGCCCTCAGAGTGCGTAGCACACGTCAAGTATTCACATGTTTTGGTTAAGCCGTCCATTCTTCAGCTCAGGGGACTGCATCAGGGATTTGGGACCCACCCCAGAGGAGCTGCTCAGCCGAAGGGTCTGAGTAAGAAAGCTGGGGAGAGAGAAGGGCCTCTGGGCAGTGGGATACTGAAGAAGGATTTCCAAGAAAGAGCAATTTGAAGGGCTGGCGAGACCCAGGATGTGAGCATGGGAGGGTAAAGTATGTCAGAGGAGTGAGAGACCAGATTGCAAATGACAGAAACCCAGCTCAAACTGATGAAATGTGATTCATCAATTCACAGGACAGTCTGGTCTCTCTAGCTCCAGGCATGGCCGGATCCAGGAGCGCCATCATTGTTCTCAGGCCTCTGGCTCTCCAGGCCTTGGTTCCAACTTTGTCTTGGCTTCTTTTTCAGCTGGGCCCTCCCTATTTGATGACAAAGGTGGCCCTGGTGTCTCAGTATCTAGTGATGCCAGGGAGAGGGTGCCTTTTCTCGGTAGTTTCAGGCAAAAGTCCCAGGATTAACTCTCATTAAAACCTTTGAGGGTCAAGAAACCATTTCTGACCCAATCATTGTGGCCAAGTGAACAACTAACAGACCCCACCCTGGGACTGAAGGGGTTAGACGCCCCCCAACCCCCGAACCACATTGCATGAGAGTGGGATGTGGGGAGGTTTGGCTTCCTGGATGGAGACTAAAGTGCTCTTAATATTAACACAAGAGTGGGAGGCTGCACTCTGGGAGCTGGTCCACTGGGGACCCCCATGCTTCTGGAGGAGGCAGGCCATAGCACAAAGACAGGATCCAAGTCTTCAAGGGGTGACAGGAGATGGTTGCGGTGGTGGGGGCAGTAGGATCAGCACAGGAGGCTGCTGGGAGAGCCAGGTTATATGAGCAGCAAAGGGCACATTTGGGTGGGATATGGATGATCGGGAGGGCACTTCGCAGCCCTGGAACTCAAGGGATGTCCTTTAAAAACGGTGACTGGGGGGGACCTTGCTTAGGGAGGGCTCAGGCAAAGAGTTGAGCGTCCATGTGGAGAGCGGAGTAGGAAGGAGCAATGTCCATTTGCCCAGTGCCCAGTCACCAGATAGCACCCCTTCCCTGCCCTCTCTCAACTTCAGAGCCTCCTGGGAGCACGTTAGAAAGTCAGGCCCCAGGCCCCAGCCTCGGCTTCCCATTTAGGCAGCTGGGCTGAAGCCAGGTCGCATCTGGGCTCAGCCTTCTTGTTTAGGGAAAGAGGGTGAAATATGGGGGGTCACATTTAGGGGGTCAGGAGGACCCACCCACCCCAAATCCTGGATAGGCTAGGGACTCTCAAAACTGCTAACTGCTGGTGGACTGTAGGCTGGCCCTGCTGGTAGTGCGACAGGGCCTAGGCTGCATGAGAGCATTGGGTACAAAGCCCCCCAATCAAAACTGCCTAAGTAGATGAAGTCGTTAATGATCAGCAAGTGCCAGGACACGGGCTATCAGCCCTGGCCCACCACATGGTGCGATCCCTAGCCTAGGCCACCTGTCTGCCTCCTGGATGCCTAGTTCCCTAGACCCCAAAGAGCCACTGAATTTGCTCCTTTGCCCTCAGATCGGTGCCATCACTCAGGTCAGGGCCCCATCTTGCTCTCCAACAGCTCTCTGAATTCCAGCCTAGAGGGCACTCCTGTGCTGAGGGATGGGTCTGTCTCCCCCATCTGCTGGGAAATTTGGACGGGGGATGCCTGGCCTATTGCACCAGCACAAGACAGTGCAGGTTAAACACTGGCATCTGGCCCTGCAGGTACCTTAGGCAGGAGTGGTGGGGGGAGCCTCCAGCAGGGTATCAGGTGACGTGAGGGACCACTCACCCAGTGTGAAAGGGTCTACAAGGCGGTAGGTGGCTGAGGCAACTGCCTGGTAACCTCACCCGGAGTGTTGGGGGTAGTGGTTGCCATGCTCGTGTCAGCGAGCCCTGCCAACCAGGGCCTCTTCTCCAGCAGCACTGTCCACCCACCTCTGCCCAGTAGTTCCACACACAGGGATCAAGAGATTCCTTGTATTTTTCATCTAACCCCAGACCCCAGCCCAGGCTTGCCCAGTCTAGCAGATGTGCATACCCACTGTTCTAGAACATTCCTCGGCTCCCACTGCCCCAGAGTGCTCGGTTTTGCAGAATTGCCCTTTCATAGGAACTTCTGTGGGCATCTGCCCAACCAAAAATCTATTTGATAAACTGGACAATGTGCCCCAGGACTGAGGGGCTTCCCCGTTTTGCCCCAGTAACCCCCCCCACATCTGCGCCCCCTACTAACCAACACATCGGGGCAGGCCACACCGGGTTGTGGGCTTCTAAACCCGGGGTCTCCGCTCTTCTTGTCGCATCATTCTCCTCGGAGTCACCTCTACAAGGAACTGAGGGGGCCATGGTCGGTCAAGACGAAAAGCCACCGCCCCTGCTCCTTGCCCGCGCTGGGGGCCATGGCCAGACCCGACGAGCCCACTCCCCCGCCCCCCCCCAGAAGCCGGGTCCCGCATGAGGCCACCCCCTCCCCTGGGGTTCGCAGCCCTGCAGAGAACCCCAGGCCCCGGCCCCTCCCCCCAACGCCGAGGCGCGCGCCCCCCGGGGCCCTCCCGCCGCCCCGCCCCAGTGGCACGACGACCGCGCCCACCAGTCCCGCCGGGAAGAAAACGAGAGCGGCTCAAAGGTTCAAACAATTTATTGTGCCCCCAAAGGCCGGCGGGACGCCGCGAGCGCCGCGCAGCCCGCGCCCCGGGCGGCCGCTCCCCGCGGGGGGTGGGGGCGGGGAGCCGGGGGCGCGTCCCGCGCGGGCGGGCGAGGCCGCGGCCATTGGCGCCCGGGGGGCGGTAACCATGGCGACAGCCGTTGCCAGGGGCGAGAGCCAATAGGGGCGTCGCCGGGGCCGTTTCAAAAATCTAAAGCAAACAACAACAAAAACGCTACGGGGTCGGGGAGGCCCCGGGCGGGGCCGGCGCCGCGGGCGTGCGGGGGGCGTGCGGGGGCCGGGCGCGCGCTCACTTGCGGCCCTTGGGCACTTTGGGGACGCTCGGCTTGGCCGCCTTCTTCACCTTCTTGCCCCCGCCGCCGCCTTCTTGGCCCGGCCGCCTTTGTCCCGCGCGGGCGCGGCGCCCTTCTTGTGCGGGCGCGCCTCGGGCTGCGGGCCCCTGGGCGGCTTCTTGTCCGCGCGCCGGGGCGCGGCCGCGCCCGGGCCGCCTTCTTGGCCTTGTGCGCGGCGGGCGCGGGCGCGGGGGCGGCCGTCGAGGCCCCGCGCCGCTCGCCGCCCTCCAGCTTCTTGCGGTTGAGCTTGAAGGAGCCGTTGGCGCCGGTGCCCTTCACCTGCAGCAGCGTGTCGTTCTGCACCAGCGCCTTGATGGAGTACTTGAGGTAGGTGCGGCCGTTCTGCTGGTCGAACCACGCCACCTTCTTGGCCTCCGCGTAGATGCGCGCGAGCGACGAGCCGCCGCGCTCGCCCAGCCGGCGGATGGTCTCCACCACCAGCTGGCTGTACTTGCCCGGCTGGTTCTTCTTCTTGCTGCTCTTGCGCTTCTTGGCCGGGGCCGGCGCCGCCGCGCCGCCCGCCTTGGCCGCCCTCCGGGCCGCCCCCTCGGCGGTGGTGGGCGGCAGGGCCTCCTCGAGCTCCACGGACATGGTGGCGAGCGGGTTGGCGGCGGGCGGGGCGCGGAAGCCCGGGGGCCGCGCCGGGAAGAGGAAGGCGAGGGGCCGCGGGGCCGCCGGGGGGCTGGGGGCGCGCGGCGGCTCCAGGCGGGAGCGGCCGCGGCCGGGCCTGGGCCGGGCGGCAGGGCTGGGGCGGGGGCCGGGCCGGCTGGAGCGAGAGTCCCGGGCCGGGCCTGGCCGCGCGGCGGGGCCGGGCGGGAGGGCCGAGCGCGGAGCGGCCGGCGGGCGCCGCTGCTGCGGGGGTGGGCGGGTGGACGGGCTGGGCCGCTGCTCCCGCTCCGCTCCGCGCCGGCTCCGGCTCGTGGGCGCGCGCGCTGCGCTCTGGCGGGGAGGGCGCCCCGCGCGGCTTTTATGGCTCCGCGGCGGACCACGTTGAGAACAACAACAGCCTGGTCCGGAGCCAGCGCCGACTTGTGCTTCTTGGAGCCCCTTCCCCGGGCCCTGGCGGCCCGGCCGCGCCTCCCCGCGGCCCCCGCGCCCGCGGCCCGACGCCCGGGGCGGAGCGCGAGCCCGCGGCGCGGCGCAGGGGGGGCCCGCGCCCCGAAAGCGCTCGGCAGAGGGGAACGGAGGGGCGCACCCTAGCCTACGGGAGCGCGAGCGGAGGGGGCACCCCGTTTGGGGGCGAATAGCTCTGGTTCTGGGGGAACCCCACGGCCCGGAGCTCCGAGGCCGGCCGCCGAGAGTGCGTCGCGGGCACCCGCGCCCGGCCCGCGGCCGGGGGACGCCAGGCCCGCCCGCGGGGCGAGTTTTAATTTGTTCGAACTAACACAGGGCACGCCCTCCCGCGGCCGGCCCGGGCACTGTGCGGCGAGCCGGAGCCCGCGGGGGCTTCCGCGCCGGGGGGAGGGCGGCGCCCGCGGCCCCGCATCCGGGGTCTGGCGCGTCTCGGGGCCGGGGCACCGCGCGGGAGGCGGCGGGGGACGCCTGCGGGGGCCTCTCTGGGGACACTCCCCCCCCCTCCGCGCTGATGCTGCTGTTGTAGAACTAAATTCTGGCCTTTTCCCCAGGCCGAGGGCGAACGAGCGGCGCTCCGGGAATGGGGCGGTCGGGAGCAGCTTCGTTACTCAGGTGAGGGCCCGGGCCTGGCTGGCCCCGTAAGGTCTGAGCTCCCGTTTAAAGACCAAGGGTTCCTTCTATACAACCGCGTCCCTCTCTGCTACATTGATAACGCCGTTTTTCAGCAGGCGAAGTCCCCAGGCATGGGGGGCAAGGCAAGGGGGGCAAGATGCAGGCATTCGGGGTGGCCTTGGAGGGAGAGGCCAGCTTGGCCGGCTGCCCGACCTTGTAGATAGAGTGCGGAGGCCCCGGCCATGAGTCTTGGAGGGAAGGAGCTGCGAGTAAGCAAACTTGTTGATGATGCCTGCATTGGAGTGTTCATTGCACCTGGGCTGGAAGTTATTCGGGAATCTTTATTATATTCATTGCTCAGTAATCTATTTTCTCATCACCCCAAGTGCCCTATTTTATGCCGTCCCAAGGAACCACCACAGTTACTCGCGCAGCCGAAGGGCGGCTCCAGGCTGGGCCATTGTAAGGATTGTGGGTGGAGACCCTCGGAGGAGTCCCGGAGTCCTCTCCAGAGGCTCGAGCAAGTCGAGCAAGTCGGGCAGTCCTGTGCTTTTGCGGGTCCATTATTGGTGGCTTAGGGGAGGGGCCTGACAGTCTTTCTCAAAGCCAAAGAAGCCTGGATTTGGGGAAGCTGAGACCACGAGACACACCCAGGGAGGAGAGCAGGTCCCTTTGGGTGAGTGATTTTTGACCCAGACCGTGTGCAGGTCCCAGCACCAGAGTGATGGAGAGGTGAGGGTTGGGCAGTAAGGGAAGCTACAGAACTGGGGTTCCAGGAATGGGGAGAACCAGGAATTGTGAGCTCCCAAACAGGGCGGGAGATTCTGTGGCCTTGCACCCCAGCGGGCCCTCTTAGGAGTGCAGTCACTGTGCTTGCGCAGACCTCCCTTTTACCACCAACAAGCCCCAGGAGGGAAGGAAATTGCTGCTGGGAAATTGAGACTGGGTGTGCCTTTGGGAAGGAATTGGGGGGCTAGTGTGTGTCAGGCAAGGGGTTGGGCCCCAGAGCAGTGAGTCCACCCCATAGAAGGAAGAGAGATAACCCAGACCCCCGCCAAAAATGCCAAGTACCAGTCCCAGGAAGAAGAACGTCGGAGTGGACTGTCTGCGAGGTCTGGAGAACTTGCCCGTGACTTACAACAATCTGAATCTCCTAACAGAGTGGGGAGTGGGCTCTGAGAGTGCTGCTGGGCCGCTCCTGGCTCTCGGGAGTGGGGCTGGGGGTTCTTGCAGAGACTGCACAGCTTGAGCAAAGACCTGAGGTGTTCTGAAGATTCCAGGGCGCGAGGCTGGTGTGTGGAGGATGCAGTGCTGTGAGAGAGAAGCAGCAATGTGGAGATGCTGTGGCTACTGAGGGTGCCTCTCAGGAGCAGAAAGGCCAGCCAAGGAGTAATGGGGCACTTGGGGTAGGGGACAGTGGCTCTGCAGGAGGCGATCAGGGTACATGAACAAGGGATGGGAACAGGGAGACCCAGGAAAGCCACAGTCCAGGTAAACCAGGAAGAGGGGAGACAGCCAGGTGAGCAGCGAGCAGCTGAGAGGGACTGGGGCATGGGTCTCTGAAAGGTCAAAGGGAGACTGGCTGATGCCCCTGATAGAAGCCCAGCCTGGGTAGCAAGGGCATCCCTCAGATTGACACTTGTTGGGCTGCTGCAGGAGAGAAGGTCGCTGGAAATGTGAATCTGGAGCTGTTTGCAGCAGCAGGCTGGGGGTGGGATGCAATGGTGGAGAGAAAAGGAAGGACAGGGCAACGGTAGCAAAGAGGCGGCTCCCTTAGCGACAAAGTAAGAACCGTCAGAGTGGGAGGAGGCAGCCCGCAGGGCAGGCCTGGTGTCATGGAAGCTAAGGAGGAGAGAGTTTCAAGAAAGAAGGGGGACGGGGTGTCACATGCAACTTGACCATCAGAGCAGAGGACAGGTCAGCAGAACTGAGGAGACTGGCAGCTTCGAGCCGCTGGCCACCTGTGCCCTGACCCTCCTCTGGACTCTGTTTCACCCAGTGTTTTACAAAACCTTAATCTCTTCGAGAATTAACTAATCCTGCGAATCCGGGCAAAAGTGTAGTTCAGATTTCCCTGGGGAGAAAAATCTGAAGGTTGGCCCTGGGTGGGGATTGATGGGGTGGGGCCTGAGTGGCAGCTCTGCCCCACCCCCCTACATCCCCCCTCCCCGCCACAGGCTGGACTCCCAGCATTGGGCAGTGAGGGCGTGTGGCCCTTGTGAGGCTGAGCAAAGGTTCTCCATCCTGGCGGTAGCTTGTTCATGTGTGGGGAGGAGAAATCGGAGGAGTCAGCCGAGGAGCCCAGGCCCTCGGGGAGGACGGAAGACATGAGTCCGCGTCCACCCAGCCCTCGTGGGCTCCTCGACCTGCCTGGGGAGGGGTGGCTTTTGCCAGGATTGAGAATGGCTTGTGGACCGTAGGGCCTGGGTCTGGGAAGACTAATTCTAGGTTTTGGGAGCTGGCAGGGATCGAGTGGTTTCATCCCACTGGCCTCATTATACAGATGAGGAAACTGAGGCTTAGGAGAGGAGCCAGCCAGGGCTCGAGGCCAGCAGTCAGGAATGTTTTCAGACTCCACCCTCCCTGGTAACTCCTTACCCCCTTCTCGGGGAGCCAGAGGTGGGAAAGGACTCAAAAGGCCAATGACAAATGACAAAATACAAAAGGAGTACTGGGTGTGGCCAGGGCCGAGGAGAGACCCTGCTTCCCAGGACAGGCCTTTCAGGGGAAGCTTGGAGATATAGGAAGCCTACAGGTGTGGGCTCGGGGTGGGTCCTCCAAGGGGTACCCTTCCAGTCCTGGGGCTCCAGACACCATCCATATGTCAATGATACCCTGTTTCCACCCCGGCTCTGACTGCTCTCTTCTGACCTGCAGACTCACCCATCTGGCTGCAGCTCCCCTGGGATATCTGAAAACACTGCTCTTGGCTAAAAGTCAACTCCCCTTGCAAACCTGCTCCTCCTCAAACTTTTAACAGGTCTAGCCAGATAGTGCATGCTCCTTGATTTCTTTTTCCTCTACCCTCTTATTCATCCCATCAGTTCTTGTCAAATCTATTCACAAATGTGTCGCAGATTCACCAGTTCTCTTCCCCAAGCCTGGAGCTATGCTCTCCATGTTTCCGCTCTGGCCTCTTCTCACAGCAGCAGAGGAAGCGTCTAACACAGAAGTCCAGTCTGTGTGTCCTGCCACGGCCCTGGCCACAGCTCCCGGGCTCTGCCTCAGCCATGTTGGTCTTTTTGTTCTTCACACATGCACAGCGGGTGCCCGCCTCAGCACCTCTGCGCTGTGTGTAGCTGGCTTCTTGACTTCTGGTCTCATCCATAAATATGTCTTTCAGAGCAGACATACCACCCAGGCCTAGACTTGCTATTTTAGGCTTGTCAGAATACCCCGCTAGAATTCCTATCATATCACCCTACTTTATTTTCTTGGTGGCACTTAACAACACCTAACCCTATTTTGCCTATTTACTCCGATACTGGGAGCTCTCTGAGAGCAGGGCCCGCGGGATCTGCCACACTCCCTGCCTGGCTGACGTGCACCTGCTCACTGCGGCCTGGAACACCCGGGTCTCTTGAAGCAGCAGCAGCAGCAGCATGAAGGTGAACTGGGAGTCAGCTCCTGGTTTGGCTGGGGCCCTGGTACTGCCACACATTCCATGTGAGACCCACCTCTGCTCCCCTCACACTGCCCAGCCTTGGCTCCCCAGTTTGTATACAGGGGCTGGATGTGTGGAGTTTGAATGACCCTTCCAGGTGGGACAGTCTTGGCTCTGGACTTATGAGCTGAGAAGTCATTCCCTCAAGAATATAGCCTGGCTGGAAGGGGAGATGCACAATGGAGGCCCAGGTGTCAGGGAAGAATTGGCTTGGCCTCCGGGCCTAGTATCATTATCTGGAAGAGCAGCACATGCACCACCAATGGAAGCACCTCCACC